TTTAAAATATTTAAAGTTTTCCTATATTCAATGTATTTTTAAAAGTGAAAAATACAAATATAGGAAGTTGTAGTTTAATAGACTTGGTATTTAGCCCCTAGTAGAATTTGATAAGCAAATAATTAGGTACAGAGTTTAAAGGAATATAGTGAAAAAGCTTGCTGAAATTAAAATCTACTAAGTCTCTGATGTTTCCTGTAAGAACAAATTATAGAAACGAGCAAAATAAGACTACAATTTAAGAATTTTGTAATTTTAATGTATAATAGCAGTTTATGTGAAAAATATTGACAAATGAAAAGCAAACAATATATTGTGCAGTGAAAAAGCAGGTTGTAAAATAGTTAACTATTGTAATAGTGTTGTTGTAAATAATATCAAGATAGATAAAAACACAAAGGAAAATAAGAGATTTCATCCTAAAATATCATAAATTATTTTATCTGGGAAAAATTTTTCCTTCCTGACTTTATTTTCTTCATTTCTAAATTTCATAAGGTTAAGTTATGTACAAATTATATTTTAATTATAAAAGAAAATAATCAAAAGGAAAAAAATCACAAGAGAACAGACACTGATTAATCTATTGATTTGATGTGTGGGAAAATGTGAAGAAGTGATGTCTTTTTTGCTATAATTTGGAATTCTAAGTATATTGATGTTGCCATATTAGCTAGAGTTCTCAAAAATATCTTGAAATCAGAATCATCAGAGATGCAGTTAAAAATACAGATGCTGGGCTCTACTGTTCTGATACAGTAGTCATGGGTTGGAGCTTGGGAGTGCAATCACAAGGAATTGATTAAATTATGGTATATTCAAAAGGTAAAAACCACACACCCATTTACAACCAGGTGGAGAAAACTCAGAGTTATTCATAGTATCTTAAATGAAATTAGATTATTACAAAATAAAATGATGCAATTTTGTAATGAATAGGAATTTTTACATACAGACCACAAAATACCATGTACCAAAACATTAATAATAATTATTTGTCTAACAGGATCGGGGTTTTTTATTAGTTGCATTTTCTAAATTTTTACACTTTTCATATGTTGATTTTATAATTATAAACAAATCATTGTTTGCATCCTTTCCTTTAAAAGGAACAGCTAAAGAATTGACAGGAGATGTCATAATGAAGATCAGTTTTTAACCAAAGAACCTTTCTTTTTTCATGGAAGAGAATCTATATCATTCCATATGAGAAAGATAGCTAGGTATTGGAATGAGTATTTATAAGCCGATGAAATTTCAATTGTTTAGGATACATTGTAAATATAATCTTGATTTATATTACCATAAAAAAAAAATTCCTCCCTTTCTCCATCTTTAACTTTCTTTGGAATAGATGACATTCCCTTGAGCAGGAGGGACTGCAGGTAATTAGATTTATATATTTATTCCCAATAAGATGTTCTTTTCACCTATCTGTCCCACTTGTGCTAGCACAAGGGATTCACAGTGCTGCCTCATCAATTAAAAATCATTTCACCAAGTTAATTAGCCATTTCTACAAATTTAATGAATTTACATATGAAACCTATTTGTTAGATGACTGTTTCATTAACAATATGTTCTGGAGATGAGAGATTTTATAACTCTTAAATCATGCCCTAAAAGAGTTCAATACAGATAAAGGAATGAATATTTTGAGAAATTGATAAATTCAGTAAAATATGAAATATAATGGGTGAGCTGAGAGTATGAGATTCAAGTAAAGATTCTCATTCCTGACAACACGTGTGAACTAACTCTGGAAACTTCTGAAAAAAGAGATGCCTTCTCCCCACTACCAAAATATTAAATTGCCAGGTATAGGATGATTGTCTAGCATTCACACTTAAAAAAAAATCTTCCAGATGATTCTGGTCTCTGGTAAAATGTTGAGAGCCACTGTATTGTAGCAGTTAATTCTGCCTGTGAGTGTTCTAGAATACAGCAATGAAGAAATGCTGATTGACTGAATCTCAGAAAATTAATAGAAGTCCCTAATCCCCTTGGCCTCTGGGTATCTCAGGGCTGGGCAGCTTTGTTGAGGCCAACCACCTGTGGACATACCTGTTTCCCTTCCCACAACCCCCAGGGGAGGCTGACTCTGGCCCTGGCTCCCTGGAGCCAACAGGCCCACCAGCATGCCCTGACCTGACTGAGCTTTTCCCCCCTTTTATATCTGGTGCTAGGATTCAAAAATGTACTAATCAGCTGTGAACTAAAATGGACCAATTAGGTGCTAGCTAGATGGACCAATCAGTTTAAAACTCACTTCATTAGTTAATTACTGGATTGTAAAATGGAAAATGATCTGATTGGTACTAAACAGTCCAATTAGATGCTTAGGATTGAAATTGGTCCAATCAGGGTTATAGGGTGAAGCACCCTTGTAGGTTAAGGAAAAAATGTCAGGCTTTTCTGCCCTCCCGCCATCAGGATAGATGATGGATCCTTGCGGTCCTGAATGCATGCCTGATGGTGGGCACCTGGAGTAGGGTGTGGGCATAGGTAGGTGGGATTCACCTGGGCTGAGACTGCTTTTTAAGGGCGGCGTCACAGAGATGCCAGTAGAAGCCCAAAGAGAAGCCGAGGAAGACGAAAGCAGAAGCTAAAAGAGAAGCCGAGAGAAGGCCGGGGAGCCCAGAGTGAAGACCTGCTGGGGGCTGGGAGACCTGCCAGCCTACCGGCCCCCCAGCACCCCTGCCTGCCATGTACCTGGTAATCCCAATAAAAAGCCTGCAAAAAAAACCACTGAGGACTCTGACATCTCCTTTACCCGGTCTGCTGGATATTAGAAAACCTGCACAGTGTCCATTCCTGCTTTACAACCCTGAAAAGAATATAAGGCAGAGCAAGAGCCAGTTTGATTCGGTCTACTCCCAGCCTCTGAAGAGAAGAAGGATTTGTTGGACCATCTTTAAAAAATGAAGCATTCTGCTTTAGGCCTCTGAAGAGAGAGATGGGCATTGAGCAGTCTACCTCCATGGGATTCGCCACACTTCCTAGACTTCTAGACCTCCACACCTCCGCAGACATTCACAGAGATTCAGCTGCTGTACCTGCCTCCGGCCCTGCCTCTGACATCACCTGCAAGGAGAATAGTCAGACTCAGCCCAGTGTCTCAAAAAGTTAACCACAGCCTCTGGATCTCCAGTACCACCTTCTGGCACTGATGAGCTATTGCTCTCTGGTTCAGCATCTTGCTCAGCCTTCATACTGCTATTGTAGGTGACTACAGTATCATCTCATCTTCCATGAGCAGCCTTTGTTTGGGACTTCTGGACACTATGGAACACTATCTGGGGTGAGATAGCTGGCCATTTGTGTCCTCAAAAACTCCTTCCTTTTTCCAAACTCTCATTTCTTAAATAAACCCTGTTTCTGAGCTGAGTGCAATTGAGTGGTCTTGCAATTGTGCATGTGGGTAAGAACCCACTGACAGTGACCTGCCCCTTACCTTGGTCACTGTCTCTTAGCTCTGTTGTAGCTGTTTTTTGTTTGTTTGTTTGTTTGTTTGTTTGTTTGTTTGTTTGTTTGTTTTAGGGGAGCAGCAGGTGAGCCAGGAGAGGTCTGCCTCACCATGTGGGTTTCTCTCTGGCCGGCTGGGGATTGAACTTATGCTGCAGAGGCTGTGGATTGCTTCATAGTGTGGTGCTTAACCTCTTGTGCCACCATGGAGGCCCTTTTGTAGCTGTTTTAAGTGTCTTTAAGTTCTGATTTTGGTTCTATTTTCAGTCACTTTTGAGCACTGTGTTTGTACTGTTTCAGAAGTTTGATGTCAAAATGTAATCTAAAGATTCATTTATGCATATAAGAATTAGGGTACAGGCCAGAGATGTGGGGGGTAGTGAGAGGATTCACAAGAGACAGAGTGGGGAACAGAACAGGCAGATTGACTGAAATACACTGTTGAGGGGAGCAGCAGGTGAGGCAGGAGAGGTCTGCTGTGCCATGTGGGTAGCTCTCAGGCCGGGGATCTAACTCGTGCTGCAGTGGCTGCGAATAGCTTCATAGGTTGTGTCTTAACCCCTTGCGCCACCAGGGAGGCCCTCAAAATGTAATCTAAACAAAAGAGGTAGGGTAGTCAAAATCAAGAGGTCAGTCTAGAACCAGATTCACTTGGGAATTTGTAAATGCTTCAGCATGATGGGAGGGCAGAGGGCAGGTGCTGTATCGCCAGGAAAAACAGCTTTGGAGGGCACACAGGCAGCATAGATGGAATGTGGTGGACTGTGGCAAACCCAAAGTGTGTGAGTGTGAGCATTAGGTATCTAACATGGAATGTAAGGGAGAGAGCTGGTCACAGTGCCAGTGAGAAGAATTTGCAGGCAGTGATGACCATTGAGCACAATTTGCGCGACATTTCCAAGACAGAAGTCAGGTAATCTGACAACTGTGTTTGCTGTGTTATCTCTTAGTAACCTCACTTCTGGGGTTTTGAGCCTTCACTTCTGTATTTTTTCCTCAAATAATAGAGAATGCATTCCCTTGTGTTTACATATCCCTTGTTATTTAACTTACCTTTTCTCTATATACCTAGAGAATACTAAATGTGAAAAAAAAAAACCCTGTCACTATAATGGAATGAGATTGTGTGTGTGTATATATTCATTTATATATGTGCATATTTTGTATTCACATGTATACTTGTTTCCTTGTCATCCACAATCACTTTCCAAAGCATATACTAAGAATAGGCCTGTGAACTTTGTGAGCACAGTACCAAGAGAATTTAGTGAGCCCAGCCTCTATGTTCCATTATGCTTTCTCACTTGACATTTCTGAATGCAAATATGTCTGACAAGTGTAAATAAGGGTGTCACACATCGAAGCAGTACCCATTTCCACCTGGCCATTCCTTGTCATGCATGTATTTATGGATGAATGTGCCACTTTAATCTTCCTATATTTTTCACAGGCATTTTTGTAAAGAGTGCAATGGTGAGTTCTAGTTCTATGGTTTCTAAGTTGCAGAAATAGATCTGCTTTTTTTCTCCTTGCAGAATTCAGTGCATTTTCAAATACCTTGAAGAGATGCTGGAATGAGAAAAAGGAATACTCGGTGTTTAATCAGCGGACAGAAGAGGCGTCAGCTGCACAATACTTCCAGGTCAGGGAAGTTGCCCCAGGGGAATCAACTTGTTTCAAGTATCACACACCTTTGAATACACCCAAGTAGGCCAGTGCGTGGAGAGGAAACAACTGATACAGTACTGCAGTGGTTCTCAAAGTGTGATCCCCTGAACACTAACAGCAGCTGCATCTGGATTGGAATTCTCACTCTCACTTATCAAACTATCAAGTTTCTCTATTATTCTGAGCCTCTGTTTCTTCAGCTGAGGAGTATAAATCCTCTGATTGTTGTGACTATATAATTTGATTAGTTGATTTATATGAAGCATGTGGCATATTTGGCTACCAAATGGTGGCAATTACAATGATGATATTTATAACTGTCACTGCTCCTGGATTTATATGAACCATATCACCCAAATAACTTCCCTCATAAGGATACTTTCTTCCCCACCCCCACCTTTACCCAGGAATTCTACCCAATTCTATATTCCTTGCTAGGTTGATGGGACTCAGTGGGACCACCCACTTTGGCCTGGCCCAGTTCACTTTGATATTTTCTGCATCGGTGCTCTCTCTTTGGGAAGGCACCTGGGCATCTTTTCTGAAAGATCTATACCCGAATCTGTTATGTAGTACAGCAGTCAGAAATCTGGGCTCTGCTTACAATTCTTTATGTGAACAGATCACTGTGTCTCTCAGAGCTTCAATTTCCCTGCTAAGCCTTCTTGGACCAAGATGGCTGTAAAGACCAGACACCCACAAAGGTGTAATCTTGTAGGTTGCTTACTCTCTTTCTCCTCCTTTTTCCCTTACAGTTTTATGGCTGCATTTCCCAGCAGCAGAATATGATGCAAGATTTCGTGAGGACAGCCACTTACCACAGAGCCATCCTCCAGAACCACATTGATTTTAGAGACAAGGTAATGTCGACACCAGGTTATTAACCCCAAGCTATATTAAGAAACCTTGTCAAAAACTAAAATCAAAATTAAATTTTGATAAAATTTTCATATGACCCTGGTATCTACTCCTAACTGTACACTGAAGATTGAAAACCAGGTATTCAAACAACTATGTGTACATAAATATCCATAGTCGCAGTAGTCCCAATAGCAAAAAAAAAAAAAAAAAAAAATGGAAATAATCCAAATGTCCATCCACTGATGAAAAGAAAAAGCAAAATATGGGTGTGTTCATACAGTATAATATTATAGTGTAATACTGTGAATATTCAGATTTATATTATCCATTAAAAAAGAGTAGAGGGCCTCCCTGGTGGTGCAGGCTGTTGATTGCTGTGCTGTGAAGCTGTCCGCAGCCTCTGCAGTGCTAGTTCGATCCCTGCCGGCTTTGGAGTAACCCACATGGTGGGGCAGACCTCTTCTTTCTTGCCCACTCCTCCCCTCAGCAGTGTACTTCAGTCAGTCTGCCTGTTCTGTTCCCCACTCTGTCTCTGGTGAATCCTCTCACTCTCCTGCACATCTGACCTGTACCCTGGTTCTGGTATAAATAAATAAATCTTTAAAAAAAAAAAAAGGAATAGAATGCCAATACATACTTCAATGTGGATGAACAACTAAACCATGCTAAGTGAAGAAGCCAGTTACAAAAATTCATACTATGATTCTATTCATACTAAACATCCAGAACAGGCAAATCCATAGGGAGAAAGCAGATTTGTGGTTGTCAGTGGCTGGGGAAGGGGGAAATTGGGAATGACTGCCTAAGGGATACACGGTTGCTTTCTGGGGTTATGAAAATGTCTTCAAACTTGATAGAAGAAATGGTTGCACAACAAAGTGAATGTATTTAATGACACTGAATTGTATACTTTAAAATGGGTAATGGTTAATTTAATGTTATATGAATTTTGCCTCAATAAAGAAATTAAGCTTTGAATGCTAGGAGCTCAAGAGATTCACTATGTTTTGGTGCATAGAACAAGTTAGTAGATTTATTGCTACATAATGAATAGCTTTTATTGAGTCCCTTTACTTCAGTTTTTTTTTTTCCCGTAGACTCTACAAGTGCCTGCATTTATTTCCTTCACAAAATGGATCTGAATGATGAATGATTGCTCACACATTATACAAATGTTAAATCTATTAAATCTGTTAAATCACCAGTGTTCAAAATACACTAAATAGTTCATCTCAGAGACGAGAGCATTGGTCAGTGAATCCACTATCGTGGGATCTAGTCACAAATTTTCCACCTAACTAGGTGTGTGGTCTTAGGCACAACATTAAGCTTCTTCAAACTTCACAGTATATTTTACTGTCATAGTAATTGTGGATGTATGGTCTTTGAGATTCATAACCTTAATCCCTCAGGAATCTCATGGGACAACATTGGAATAATAATCCCAGTGACTCCTGTTTTGCTATGTCCATGCCTATTTGTAAAGTCATGTAGCTGCTCCTTTCATTAAGAGATAGTCAAATTTTTTATCCCTTATTTCTGTGCAATCCTCGTGATGTGCTTTGATCAACGGATTATGTGTAAATTTTAGAGTTGGCTTAATGTGACTTGTGGCTTCTGTCCTCCTCCTTTGGGGAGCCTGTGATCACCATATTGAACAGAAGTCCAGTCTAGACTATTGGATCTTGCACATGCTGGAGAGCTAACTCCAGTCAACAGCCAGCATCAACTGCCAGACCTATGAATTAAAAACAGATTATACATCATAATCTTGGACCTTCCAGCCCATCCAACTCTCCATCTGAGTCCATAAATCCTGGAGTTCAGGCAAGACTGCCCAGCCCTACCACAGAATTGGGGGAAATAATAAATTGTTTCCAGTTCAAACCACTAAATTTTCATGTAGCTTGTTATGCATAGGCACCAATAGCTAATTAAAGCAGAGAGAAGATACATGAAAAAGCAGTGATAAACAGACCTCAAATAGAAGTTGATTTGCCCATGACTTTCTGTCCTCTGTCATCTTCATTCTGCCATTGAGCCTGTCAGAGAAGTTTTTATTTGGGTTATTACATTTTTCAATTCCACACTTTCCATTTGGCTCTGTATTATCTATTTCTTGACTGTCTATTTTTCCATTGGTTTCAGTAGTGTTCATGATTTTTCTTGTTTTTTATAATAGCTGCTTGAAAGTTCTTGTCAGATCATTCTAACATCAGTGTCAGAACTCTGCTACTTCAGTTGTTTATCTTTTTCCAGATAATTGAGATTTTCCTGATCCTTTATATGCCAAGAAAAGTTTTATTGTTTTCCATATGTTTGAATATTATGTTATGAGACATTTTGTTGTTTAAAAGTTAGGGTGAGGGCCTCCCCGGTGGCGCAGCGGTTGAGCGCTGAGTTGCGAAGCTGCCCGGGGCCTCTGCGGTGCCGGTTCGATCCCCGGCTGCTCCCCGGCCACCAGAGGAGGGTCCCGCATGGCGCGCAGACCTCTCCTGACGCCCGCTGCTCCCCTCAGCAGTGTACTTCGGTCCTTCTGCCTGCTCTGCTCCCCGCTCTGGCTCTGGTGAATTCTCTCACCCTCCCGCGCTTCTGACTGTACCCAGTGCTTGTACAAATAAATAAATAAATAATAAATCTTAAAAAATAATAATAAAAAAAAATTAAAAAATAAAATAAAAGTTAGGGTGAATTTTGGAATTTTTGTTTTAGTCATCATTCAACCTGGTTAGGTTTTTGACTACAAGTTCCATGCCACTAGTTGGTCTTCTGAGGACTGTGGTTCCTATATTATTAATAGTTCAGTTTTCAAAGCCTTGGCAGGGCTCTTAGAATCTGCCATCTGAGTGTCACCCAGTTGTTAGTCTGGTACCTTGTGGGGAGATCTCAGAGCTTTGGTATGCCTAATTAAGATCAGATTCGTACAAGCAGGGGTTAGGTTGAGGGTGAGTCCACAAATTCATTTAAGAAAACAATTTCATTGAGTAGCTTCACTAAACTTTGTCCTATCATTGAGCCTCATGATCATTGTTCTTTCTGGCTCCCAGATACTGCTTTTCAGTCTCTGACCAAAAAGCTCACTCTGCCATGCATTTCCATGACTCTGCCTATTTCTTAGCCTAGCTGAGAGAGAACAAAAAGAAAAAAATAACCCAATGGGGGTTGGCCCCAGCATTTGGAAACAGCAGTGCCATCGAATGCAGTGATAGACACCCCTCTCTGATAATACTGCCTCCTGTAGGCTGATGCTGTCACTAAAAGATTGCTGTAGACTGGAGCATAGAAGCGAAGAAAGGAAAGAAGAAGAAAGAGGAGAATAGAAGTGCAGAAAGGGGAAGAGAAAGAAGAAAAATAGGAAAGGGAAAATGTACTTTCTTAAAGTTAGATCTAGCTATTCTTGTGGGTGAGAATGATGGTAAGACCATCAACAGCCATGTTTAACCATAGACTCACGAATTCAATGAATTAAAGACATGAATTACTCATGTTTTGCCATGTTTTGAGGTACCCAAGAATCATCCTTTGCCAGTGGAGCATGTTTAGCTAACCATTCTGAAGGAGAGACCCCTAATGAGGAGGACCACATTATGTAGGAGAACAAGATTAAGGCAGAGGGGGATGCTTGTTTCTTTTTATATCTTAGCTAGTATTCAAGATCGTAAGTAAAGTATTAATTACCATATAGGGGTTTTGGTAATTAAAAAAATTAAACTGTTGATTGCTTCTTCATGGTTTGAAGATGTTTCCTTGAGATGATACTTTATTTTTTTTTTTAAAGATTTGTTTATTTATTTATACAAGCACTGGGTACAGTCAGAAGCACAGGAGGGTGAGAGAATTCACTAGAGCCAGAGTGGGGAGCAGAACAGGCAGACCGACAAAGTACACTGCTGAGGGGAGCAGCGTGGCAGGAGAGGTCTGCGCGCCATGTGGGACACTCGCTGGCATCCGGGGATCTAACCGGCACTGCAGAGGCTGCGGGCAGCTTCACAGCCCAGCGCTCAACCGCTGCACTACTGGGGAGGCCCCGAGATGATACTTCATTTATGAAAACTTTTCTCGCTCTGGAGTGACTTTTTAATCAATATTTTATGATATATAATAATTTTTAATTCTGGTTACAGTTTCTAAAGCCAGTCCATAACTACTAATCACACTAACAATTTGTATTATATGACTCACAGAATTTCACATGGATAACTTCACTTGATCATTCATTTATATATCTTTTGTCTATAAAAATTAAGATATTGGACCACCTTTTAGGTAATTCCCAGTTCTGACCTCATTTGATTCTACAAAATACCCTTTTCCTGCCAACCTGAAATGGGTTTATCTGCCAGTGAAATAAAATAGGCATCCATCTGTTGGGGTTTAGGAAGGTGATAATTAATCACATGGTTGATCATTAATTATATCCCTTTCCCCCTCTGATTTCTGAACCGATTTAGAAATAGACACAGATGTGAGGTAGAAATCACAGTATCAGTTTTATTGTTGGTAATGTTATTTGGAGAATAGGACTTGGATGTGTGGCCTGTTACTTTTTCCCCCAAAACTGAACCTTTCTATCTATTTGTATACTTAACAGCTGGTCTCCCAGACAAATCCAGTGCCTGCCCAGCAGCTTCCACATGAGGGACTCAGAAGCAGATCCTTGAGTAGGGGGTGGGCAGGCAGATTCCTTCCCAGTGGCAGAGCTATGCATACTCAGTCCTGTTTCCCAGTGTGACCCAATCAGGTGGGTTACACCTATTAAGAAGGAAAATGAGGAAGGGAGTAGGACAACCTTTGTTTCCAGTACTGCCCTCTCCTGGGAGAAAATATCCACTCCCCTCTGAAAACTGAATGAGGAAACTCTCTTGGTTTTAAAGTCCCAGGGACCCTAACTAGTAATCTACTGAGAGGGTTAAATTAAACTTCAAAATTAAAACTGGTTTCTGGGCCGGCACTCCCATCAATGCCCTAACCACTGGCAGCTTTCCTGTAAGCTGGTCAC